AAATCATGCACAATAGCTGACAAAATGTTTGGATAGTTTTCCCATGCACAGAGATTATACAGCAGAAAGCTAATTTTCCCGTTGCCTCAAAGCCATTTAAGGACTTTAATCCTCTTTTTAAACTCATATCTAAGTTCTACTAGCTCAAAATTTATGGAGGGTGCTATACATTTATAATTCAGATGATGCATTTACATATGTTCTACCCCTGTTGGAGCTCCAGGCCACACACGTGGGCATCAGAGCAACCTACAAGTTGATCTAGTGGTCCCCGAAGGCCAGATTTTGCTAAGAATTTTTAAAAATAAAGCTATGAAAGAAATATACAGATGAAAACAGGAGGGTAAGCCACATCTGCTTTGGCAATAAAGACAATGAAATTAAAAGACTAGAGTTAGTAAAAAGTCGTGAATGGTGGCTGTGATTTCTCATTAGTGTCATTTGTGAGCATGTTGGAGTGAGAAAGTTGGCAAGAGATTGGTGATGATTACTAATTCATTAGGATTAATGGTTGCTATTTAAAAACTACCATTCTGAGGAGAGCCGAACGAGCGTTGTGTCTTCCCAATGGGACCATGAGACAAAATATGCCTCCAGCTAATCTCTGCTTGAAAACGGCTCATAAAAATTCAACAATTTGGCACTAGGAAAAAAGTAGCTGTAGCTAAAGTTATTTATGAGCCTATGATAACTAAATAAGCTGTTTCTGAATAACAACTTGATCATGTTTTCTAAAGGACAGGCAGGTATCTTGAGTCTTTATGTGTGAGAGGTGCCAGTGGGAGCTATACCTGCTGTATATTTCTTCACACAGTACTGTGCAAAAACCCCTTGTTTCTTTATATTTGCTTGGAAAATGGGAAACAGGTTCGGGGATTTATTGAAATATGTGCAACCATAAATGGAAATAGAGCACATAAGTCAAAAACCAAGCTTGAAAGTCAATATTTGGTATGACCATCTTTATTCTTCAACAAAGCCTGAACTCTTTTATCCAAGTTTTCCTTTAATTTCTTTAAGTAGTCTTCAGGAATGTTTCACCAGGCTCCTTGAAGAACATGCAATGTTCTTCTCTGGATGTTGGCTGCCTTTTGTTCATTTCTCTGTCAAGATGATCCCACACTGCTTCAGTAATGTTGAGGTTCTGGGGAGGCCAATCCACTGTGTGTTTTTCTGTCCAGGTATGCTTTTACCATACCACCTTTATTTATAAAGCACTTTAACATAAAACCAGAGTTCACAAAGTGCTGTACATGCTAAAAGCATAAGTAAAGAAAATTAAAATGAGATAAGATAAAATAAAATAAATAACTAAAAAACTAAAATAAATTGAAACATGTCAAAACAAATTGAGTCAACCCCTCTAATCAATGCCAAAGGCTTCAGCGAATAAATATGTTTTAAGAAGACTTTTAAATTCAGAGAGAGAAGAGGCCTGCCTAACATGCAAGGGTAGATCATTCCACAACTTTGGAGCAACTACAGCAAAAGCACGATCACCTTTAGATTTATACTTAGTTTTTGGTACCTTAAGGAGCTGCTGATTGGCGGACCTAAGGGAACGGGGAGGTGTATATGGTTGTAGTAGCTCCGAGAGGTAGGGGGGGGGCCAGGCCATTAAGAGATTTAAAAGCAAATAAGAGAATTTTAAAAACAATCCTAAAATGTACAGGTAGCCAGTGGAGTGAAATTAAAATTGGGGTAATGTGCTCAAACTTTTTTGTTCCAGTTAAAAGACGTGCTGCAGCATTTTGCACAACCTGCAGGCGCCTAATGGACGCATCACTAACCCCAAAATAAAGTGCGTTACAATAATCCAGCCTAGAAGTAACAAAGGCATGGATTACTGTCTCAAAATGCTGTTTCGATAAGATAGGCTTTATTTTGGCTAATTCCCTCAAATGAAAAAAGCTAGATCTTACAGCAGCTCTGACCTGGCTTTCAAGTTTAAGATTTGCCTCTATTTTAACTCCCAGATTAGTGATGACTGGTTTAACATACTTTTTATGTATTGAAAGTGTGTTTGGGATCATTGTCATGCTGAAAAAGGAATCTGTTACCTGTGGATCAAAATCTGATGGTACTTATTTATGTTCATTTTGACAAGATTCCCGATATCAGCGATGGAAAAGCAGTCTCAAACCACGACAGAGTCTCCACTGTGTTTTACAGATGGCTTTAGATTCTTGCTGTTGTATCTCTCTGTCCGATGATTTGAACCAAAGGTTTCAAGCTTGGATTCATCGTTCCACAAGTATTGGTACTTATTTGGTATTTGGCATACCTCAGCCTTTTCTCTCTGCGTCGCTTCCTTAAGAATGGCTTCCAGTCAGCCTCCCTTCCACTGACACATATCTGATGAGGCTTCAGTGAACAGTAGATGGATCACCTGGAGAGCCAGATGCATCTCTCAGGTCCTGTGTCTTGGATTCCTTCCTATTTCTTAAGGATATGACTTTCAGATTTCATTCATCTGCTGTAGATAGCTTTTTACACACACTTCTTTGTCCAGTTTCCTCATATTTTGTAATGTAAGATATAAGACTTTAGATAGTAGCTCTTTGGGAATTACCTTGTTGTTGCAAAAATACTGTTTTATGTCTGTCAAACTGTGTTAAATTCAGAATCTTTGGTAGATTCAACTAAAGAAATGGGAGCAAATGATGTTTTGCTAAAAATCTGTTAAATTGGTTCCTTGCAAAGTTATTTGTTAGGTCAGTAATAAGTGGCCCAGTCTTTGGTCAGGCACAAAGACTGCACTAAAAATGAGTAAACAACAGATAAATAACTGAAGACCTTCAGAAAGCTACTCGAGACCACTTGTCTGGCTCTTTGGAAACAAAATAAGGAAATGACAGGTGGATCAAGAGTTTTGCACAGTAAGTAGAATCCAAACGTTTTGTTCAGTTATGACTGATTCAACTGGAACCAGTGCTGTACCATTATGGTTAATGAGTCTTAATTCCAAGTCACTGTAGTATTACAAAAGAGCAGTGCTATGCACAGTAACACCACCTGTAGTGGAATATACTAACCAATCCATTTTCTTAATTACTTATCTGGGGCCTATCCCAGCTGTGACAGGTCATGAGGTACAGCGCACCCTGGAAAAGTTAAATACAGAGCCAACAGAGACAGACAGACAGTCATCCCCCAAATTAAACACGACACAGAATTAATGCTAATGGCACTGGAGGTGTAAATCAGCAAATGTTTTCTTACAAGTTCATCTACTTAAAAGGTGGTCGATTGTGTTCACAGCTGGTTTCTGCTGCCCCCAAGTGTCCATGGGCATCACCTACTGCAGGTTTAAAGGCTTAAAGAATCACTGTCCTCTTCCCACTTGTTTAATGGGGCTGCAAAGTTACACTTCTTCACTTCTTTTTTTCTAAACATAGACCATAATGTCCCCTGTACTGAATACATAAAACCATATACACAAACAAAGTATCCCCACGCGACATAATTCAGCCTGTCTTTATATAATTAACTTTATTTTTTAAAATCAAAGGGAAATGTTTCACTGTCCTATGCAAAAGCCTTTTGATTTCTCTTGTCTGTCATGAATGTAAGACTGCTACCTGTTCAGGGTTCATGTCTGACACACACCTGTGGCCTACAGGACAGGAATTGAGGGAGTGGCTGTGGCTCAGGAGGTAGAGCGGGTCATCTACTGATGGGAATATTGATGGTTTGTTCACTGTATGTGTATGAATGTCAGAGGATAAAGTGCTTGTATGAATGGGTGAATGGGCCTCACAGTAGAAAGCAATCTGAGTGCTCAGAGTAGAAAAGCACAATAGAAGCGCTGCCTCGTTTATAAAGATGATACAACAGGATGTTAGGCACAATAAGCAAGATGGTTCGTATTTCTAGCATCTGCGCCTCAGCCTGTGTCATTCTCTGCTGCCCTCATGTGGCCTGGTCCCAAGTGTGCAGCAGTTAAAGGATGTCAGTTCTCAGTATTAACAGCTCTATGAAAACAGGAACTAATAGTGTGCAGACATGTGATGGGAAACAACCTGACTGAGTGCTTTGTTGGAAGGACTGTTGCTGTTGTTCCGACTGGAACTATACTTTACTTTAATTCAAAGTGCCTTTTGTGGTAAAGTGCAAACATTGTCATGACGTGCACACCCAAGTGAAACTGATTCATAAATGTATTCTGAAGATTATCTGTCAGTGTTGTTGTCTTTTCTTTCTTTTACCCTTTGGTCTCTTAAGGGCCCTTTTGTTAGTTGCTTTTATGACTGGAACAAATGTATCAGACTCTGTAGTAAAAAGCAAACTTTTCTGCTGTTATTTTATTACCGCAGTACATCTTCAATCCTTCCTCTTTCCACAGCCTAAATAACATTAAATATGACGTAATAACTGTTTAAAATCTGAAATGTCTTTTTCCATTCGATGAATTGTAACCAGTTTCATCAGTGTTTGAACTTGTTTTTCCTCTGAAGGCTGAGAAGTCATTTTTACTGTGGAGAGCGTAATCTCCTGTGTTAATAGCAAATGTAAACTTTCATTATGGCTACTAAAATGTTTTATTCATATTTTTAAAGAATAGATGCTTTAATGTATTTTTATTATAAAAAACAGAAACTTCTGTTAAGTTTCTGGTTGCGAGGGGAAATCCCAGGTGATCAGCAGTTTCTGAAATACCACCCTTAAAATCACTTAGATTACATTATTTATGCTCTGTTCTCAAGATCGATTTGAACTTCTAGCAGGTCGTCTTAACTATGTCTACTTGTCTGAATTGCTGCCCTGTGATTGGCTGATTAGATGTCTGTGTTAGAAAACAGTCCAACGGGTAATCTAACAAAACGAGTCTTTACAATTGAAGAGTAACAGCGGTCATACGAACGCGGGTCCTTTCAAAATAAAAGCTGCCCTGAGTCACAAAAGCTACAAGACTGACGAGAGAAAACATGAGCAGAGAATTTAGAAATCTATTTGCACTCCGTACCCCCCAAGAAATTGGACAACTTTATGTCACCACATCAGAAAAAAACACTTCATTAAATGGTCCGTGGGCACATAAAAACAACTCTTAAATGTTCTTTTTCAGCATTAATAAATCACAAAGAAACTATCAGCATGTTAGACATTTGACTGATCATTGTTGGCTTAAAGAAAGAAAGAGGCTGCAAAGTGTCGTACTCTAATAACAATGCTGCCCATGTGTTTGCAAGTTGCCAATACGTTAAATTATTTATAACTTTTTCTTACAAAGTATTAAAGAACAGTTAGCTTCAGTTTGTAGAAAAATGAAACAATCACACAATAGTGGACATGCACTTTAGTGGTACAAAAATCTTGCATACTGCAACTACATAATCACAAAAGGTAAAAGTTATCAAATCCTTTCAGGGTCACCAAAAAAAAAAAAAGGAAACAGTAGATTGTGTCATACAGTAGCGCACTTATTAAAATTCACATGAGCTGCGGGATTATTCCACGACAACAAGCTTTCCAACTTTACACACTCTGCGATGAGCAAAAACCTCACAATACTTTAGTTTTGTCCTCTGAGCTTATTTAGAGCGATACAGTGGTGAGAATTAAAGGTGCAATTTGTATAGAGTGTTCTGTTTCTCAGCCTGACTCAGGACTGCAGATGGACTTTTCCTCCAGTTTTATTTTGGGGACAGTAGGCCATTCAGGAGCCTCGCATGCCATCTTGCTTTGCATATACCAGTTGTGCATAGAAAAAGAGTGACGGATGACTCAAACCTTTTTACTTGCAAAGTTTGTTAATTTGAATATAAAAATTTTCTGCAGAGGCTGACAAAAACAGTCATGTTCTGTCATTTAATTTTAAAAGGTAAAACGGAACAAAATTGCTCTTAAATAAAAAGCAAAGCACACCAACAAAATGTGTTTTTTTAACTGCTCCTTTAAAGTTTCCTGAATGTGTCGCTCTTTTATGAAAGTGCATGTTAGAGCACCTCACTTCATAATATTGCTCTTATTCTTTTTTCATAAACATATGACACTGAAAAAAAACAACACTGATGTTGTTTAGCTAACTCACGTCTACTTGTTTGCACTTACTTTGCTGCTTTCCTGTGCTCTGTTTCACATGGAGACACACACGAGCTATCGGCTTTAGAAATCCATATAATAGGTCGGCCGGGCTGCCTAAAATACACAGACAGCCAGTGTCCAATCAGGACTTCTCCCTGGCTTTCCCTCTCCACCAATCTCAGCTTTAGACCTTCTAGCTTTGGGACACAGTAACAGCAGTAGTGTTCGTGCAGTACTGATGAGCCTGTTGGCAGGTAAAGACCAACTGAGCCAGGGAAAAAGACTAATGCAGTGTCTAACTGTGCTGGATTGCACGACTGATAATCATGCAATCACCAAAATGCTGATATGTGAAGATTTAACTTATATAGATTTTTGTTTGCACTGGACTTTTTATTGTTATTTATTTTAACAGCAGATCAACAACTGTTTGTGTTTGCTATCACAGATGCTGTTGCAGCATTGATATATTATAAAGCTAGCTAACATCATGTTGTAGGATCCAAGCCTCCAGCTGTCTGTGTCACCTACTGCCATTAACGCGCACAGGACACACTGTAAGGTCAGTTGTAGGCTGAAACCGAAACCGTCCAGCGCTTTTGTCCAACCCCGTCCACCACTGCATTTATAATTTCATCTCTACAACATAACATGTAGAATCTGACATAACTTCAGAAACTTTGAAGGATTTCATCACATTGTGCTGACGATTCCACTTAATTTTTAAATGTTTTTAATTAAACATCTTACATATTGCACCTTTAAATCCCTTACAGCAGGAGATGTTTCTCATCCCACTGTACCAGGTCTACGTCTGTATACGTTTCATTTTATAGAGCGTTCCAAGTTTTTCCCAGCAAAGTCACTCTCCTCTGTGTTAGTAAATCTGAGTTCGATAAAATTTTCTAGATACTCTTTAAACAGAAGTCTAATACTGCTATCTGCCTCCTCTGCGCTGAACAACTATGGTCCCCGCCACAATGTCGTACACAGTCCTGTTGTGCTGGAAGAAGAGGAGGGTGATAAAGACAGGGAAGAGGAAGGCAATGGAGAAGTTCTTGTTCAACGCCCGCACAGTAGAGCTGTGAAAATCGAGAGAGACGAGGCAAAATATGAGCTCAAACAGGGACTTACTGAATCCCACACAGATGCTCTAAAAGAACTGGAAACAACAAATAATATACTTTTTTTTAAAACTTTTTAATAAATATAAAAATAACTCAACAGGGAAAAAACCAACATAAAAAGTGTGAAGACTCACGCTGAGAAGGACACGTTGGATGCTGGGACCACAAGAACACAGTTGGGTCGTATAAGGGTGGACGTATCGCACGTCACCACCCGCAAGCCGAGCAGGAACTTTCCTGGCGTAGCTCCACCAGCGCCCCAAATACAGATGATCTGATTGGATGAGAACAACAAACATCACACCGCTTGTCACCGAATGTCGTTCGGTAGGAGAATTACGAAAGACTTTCATTTCCATGTCTTGCAACGTATATTTAGCTGCGCTGTTCTGGGAACTACCCTCGCCCTCAGTGTGCATACATGAAAAGGTGGAGGCTGGAAGAACAGCAGCAAGGCCCACAGAACAGAGCAGGCATCAGTGGTGATAGATAATATTGATTAAGTCACAGTTGGTGTCAGATGGGTTGCAAAGCAGCCAGCAGATGCACAAACAAAAATAACAGTATATAGTAACAATTAGTGAATTAATCAAGAGTATAATTCCAGCTTTTGATCAGCCCCATGCACAACAACCACAGTCAGAGACCAGTTGAAGGGGAATATTTAGATAAGCTTGCACTTTTCAGAAAATGTGCCTATTTTAATGTGTGAAGCGTTAAATGAACTAATGCTAGGCTCAAGTTTTTATTGCCCAATATTTCGCAGTGCAATACACATGGCCATGAAAATAAATTACTCAAGCTTTTATTTATTGCATAACTAATCCCGGCCCAAAACATTAACAGGACAAGAAATTTGTTTTCAGTATAGCACAAACAAGCTCAGAGGCAGAGAAGGAAACATGCCATATGGTGTGAGTCTGAGCAGAGGTGCATGAATATCCCAGAGCTGGCTCCCACCTGGGAAAACAAGACAATATCGTAATTCTAACAAGAGACGGGATAAGTGACTTAATCGCAGGCAACTATGAATGCAACGTTGCATCACTGTTCTCTGTGGGCGCCGCAAAGAACTCTGACGCTGCCTGTTCTCATTAAACAAGAGAACGTGCTGCTGCTATTGGGTGTAAATGAGAACAGTGCGAAATGTTATTTATACTCTAACAGGTGTTCTGCTTTAATTCGCAGTTGCACAAGGAAAACCTTGTACACTCTAAAATGTTATTAAATGTTATAAAACAGAAAGCTTAGTTTGGGTGAAGATAAACACACGCTAGCATGCAAATTTTCAATATTAATATACTTCTGCACATCACTTAACCGAGCATTTATCAAGGCAATGAGAAATGAGACTCACCTCGTAGACACACACCAGTACCCTGTAGACCAGAGCAACAGCCATCATCTTCTGCAGGTCCTCCAGGGACGTGTTCTCATCTATCTCCTCCACAATGAAGTGGGTGATAAATTTGGCAATGTCCCTTTAAAGAAGAGAGACAGTTTGTCTGTGCAAAGCGGCATAACTTGGAATTCAAGCAGATTGAGAGGCCTCATTTAAAGTTGAGTCTTTGCCCGTTTATCCTGGTGTTTTTTACTCACTTCATACCACTCAGATACATGATCCATAACACGATGGTGGCTTTCACACAAAACAGGATGAAGAAGTCCACAGTCTCTGCGAGGAACCTCTGGAGAGGAGAGGGGATGGTGTACTCTTGTCCTGCATGGCAGATGAAAAGACAACAGAACAGCCGTTTTCATTACCGTGGCAACTCAAAGCTTCATAAACTCATAATCATTCACATATAATCAGTGAACAGACACTGCTGACAGTCACAAGAGAAAACAGAGGACGAGGAAAAACCTTGAAAGACTCTTAAGCATATAAGCTCGTTTCCTCTAGGTCATTTACTTAAGCCTGGTCAGACTCATGACCTAGCTTTAACACAGAGCTGGGTCTTACATTCAATTGTTACTAATCAGATTACAACAAATAAGCAACAATAATCAGCCCGGATGATTTTCCTGCTTTAAAGATTACATTTTGATTACTTCCATAAATTCTTATTAAACTTTTACTAATCATAATGCTTTCAATTCATAAACAGTAATATATATTTAGTATGTGCACCTCTTGTGCAGTTCTTATGAGGGTAATTTAAAAACGTTTAAAGAGAAACTTACATTTGTGAGTTGTTTAAATATGTTTAATACTGAAGTAATGTAAAAGTATTCCTGTAGACTGGGCAGCATGTGTTGTAATTAGCACTTAGTAACCGACTCGCGCTGCCAAACCTGAGCCCTACCTGCCTGAGGCGGGTTCCCGTTCTGCTGCTGACCAGGACGAGCATCGGCACCCGGGAGCGGGTTGGTGGCTGAGCCCAGCTCGGTCCCGGCAGCCAGGTGAGGAAAGGAAGCTGCGGGGGATGTGACAGGATAGTAGCTGTACCAGCTCCTTGTGTCAAATGCTTGCTGCCCACTGACGGGTGTACCCGGCGGCGTCTGAGCGCTTATCCCCGGCGGAGGGAAGGGGAAAGCTGACAGAGCCACCCAGCTCTGCCAGCTGGCGTACCCCCAGTAATACTGCCACATCCACTGCTGCAAGTTTGCGCAGTATTCCGCTGTAGCGGTGCTCCGAGGCTGCTGTGCGTCACTTTCAGGACCGCTGCTGCTTTTTTCGTCCGTCATAGCCGCAAATATACCTCAGCGTCCTCACAGGCTTGCCTGAATTTGGCAGGAAAACCGTTTAAAACGCGTTTAGCCCTCAGGTAATCCTCCCGGTGCCCCGTTCATTAGCTCCCGGCTGGTGCAAGGAAGCCCCGGCTAAATGTGTTTGTAAATACGGGGACTTCCGGGACCACTCACTGCTATACGCCGCGCCCTGAGTCTGTGTCGTTTTATAATATTTATGAAGCTCAAATTAAAGACTTGTGTGTCTTTAAAACAATACTATCTACTCTATCAGTGCTTCATTTATCATAAATAAACACCGTGTAATCACAATGGCAAGAAACTCTATCCCCCTGCTGTCATTAATGGTATGAGCCATTTAAAGGATCATTCTGGGGTTTTTTTGTTTGTTGTTATTTTATTCAGGTTCCTGTGGATACTTGTCATACTTTGAAAAGTACATTTCTTCCACCTTTGGCAGCCATAGCAAACATTTACTGCTTTTGATTTTTAAAATTATGCCCTTTATTGAGCTGTTAATTTTCCACAAGTTCACAGCACAAGTTTTAAATGTTTACCGCTAGTTTCCAGTTGTAGTGTGATTTGTGTTAGTGTGCTGTGTCTACTTGCTTCCACTACTGGCATCTCTTCCTCACATCTTAGCTCCTTTGCTGGCATCTCTTCCTCACATCTTAGCTTACTTGATGTCTACAGTATATGTATAGCACGTGCAACATTACTCTAAGACTGCACCACAAGAGAGCAGCAGAGGTCTGTTTATGCACGTTCAACAATACCAAATACAAACAACAGCATTACCTACTCTGTATTTGTACACTTTTATCAACAGTGACTGTATGATGTCTGTTACAGTTAGGCTTATTGCAGTTTTTATGTTGTCTGCTTTAATTCAGGTGCATTTTCTGGGCTTTTCAAAATAAAATGATTCCTCACAGAACTTTTTTGACCATGTACATTCCCACCTCCTACCACATTAAGAGCTCACAAACATCTTAACTGAGTGATTTCTGCAAAGTGGTCTGCCGCTGAGGTCACTGGGGTCAAAAAGTCTAAAACTGGCTAGTCAGCTGATGGAAAGCTGTGCTGCTTTCGCTCTCACAAACTCTTTCCCTCTCTTTCTTTTTAACCCCACTTTACAGATGTTGCACACGCCTCTCTCCCCTCCTAAATGTTTAACTTACTCACTCACATCAGTCTCTTTTTTTGTGTGTCTTCGCTGGCTATCGTTTTACTCCCCCTCCTCTCTGATTACCGGGGAAGTGAGGGCATTGTATTTGCTGACTGGGCTGGCCCGACTCTTTGGGTTAGGTGTTAGGTCTGCCAGATCCACATGATTGTGCCGGGCCTAGTGAATGGAGCCAGTGAGGCGAATGCCAATCCGCCCCCAATGAGCGTTATCCCAGTCGACAGAAACCATACGATGACTGTGCCCAAAAGTAATCAGGTCCAAATAAAAGCAGTGTCTGGCAAACGCTGACCCCCATAGAAACCCAACAACCTGGTGGAATTACTGCTGTGGAGGTGTGTCTGAGCGAGTGTGTGTGCTAGAAAAGAAATGAATGAGCAAGAGAGGTTTGGTGATCTGGTTAGTGGTGGGCTATGTATCACCCAGATAAGGAAGAATCTGTAATTTTATTGTGTAAAATTTATTTATAAGTTTCCATTTGTGGATGTGCTATAATGTTGTCCACGACATCTGAAGACTGTCAAAACTTTAGAAACATGAAGAGTAACTAAAATTATTACACAGCCTGTTTTTTAAAAAAATCTTCAAAGAAACCACAAATAAAAGCTTTGTTGGATTGTGTGTTTCTGCTACTGCAATCATATTGGCAATAACACCAAATATTACGGTACTGTGCAAAAGTTTTGAGTCATCACTTATTCTGGGGTTTTTTGCTTGGAAAATAGGACTTCAGTGCAGTGAGTTACTGTGTACTATGTGAGCACACATGGAAATATGGTACATAAGGCAGAAACAGAGTTTGTAGGATTCTAACGAGCTTAAAAGTTGATATTTGGTGTGACCACCTTTATTCTTCAACACAGCCTGAGCTCTCTTCGGCAAGCTTTCTTGTAATTTCTCTAAGTAGTCTTCAGGAATAGTTTTCCAGGCTTCTTGAAGGACATTTAACTGTCTTCTTTGGATGTTGATCTCTGTCAATATGATCCCCCACTTCAATCATGTTGAAGTCCAGGCTCTGGGGAGACCAATCCACAACCGATAACGTTACATATTGTGATTTTCTGTCTAGGTATGCTTACTTACTGCATTGGCATTTTGTTTGAAGCTATTGCCAATCAGAGTCTGAGTGCATGGATCAAAGTCTGATGGTATTTTCTGTGTTGATAATTCCATCAATTTTAAGAAGATGCCACACACCACTGACTGAAAAGCAGCTGGAAGCCATGACACAGCCTCCACCATGTTTTGCAGATAGCTGCTGACACTGTTGAACCTCTCTCCAAACCTCCTCTACGCATACTGATTTTCAGTCCAGTTCTTGATTCGGTATTTCTAGCTCTAGTTCTTCTTTGCTTTGTGATTTCTAGTTCTTGGGTTTTGTTCCTGGGCCCCTCACATTTCGCGTAGGTTTAGTTCTGTCTTCATGCTGATTTTCTTGTTCAGTCGTGTCTCATGTTGCAGTTTGTCAATCCTGTCCCTGTGCTCTGTGTTCCCTCTGTTCAGTGTCAAGGTCATGCCTCTGTGCAGGTATTTCCTGTTTTATTTTGATAGTCCCTGTCCTGTGTGGTGTGTGTCTGGTTTAGTTTCTCTTTGTCTTGTTAGGTCTGATGTGTCCCAGCTGCGTTGCCACCTGTTCCCCATCCTCTTGTTGTCCTGCCTCTGTATTTAAATCTGTGTTTCTCTCTGTCAGTTGTCATGCCGTACCCTCGGTCTGCTGTGTTTCCTCCCTCTGTGTTCCAAGTAATTATAGTTCCCAGTTCCTGGTTTATTTTCTCATGCTTTAGTTTGAGTTTTTGGTTTCTAGTTTTGTTTTGTACTGTTTTTCACCAATAAAACTGCCGCTTTCAGTTACAATTCCCATGTTTGAGTCCTGCATCCTGCCTGCCACACAGCACACAATGACACTGTCTGAATAAAAAAAATTAAAAGACCTTCACAAAGCCTGGAGAAGTTTTGTTCAACAAGAGTTCGACTCCTTGTAAGGAATTTATAAAGAAACGAAGAGTGGCTCAAGACTTTTTCACGGTACTGCCTATAATGCTCATCCTGCTGGGATGTCACCATTGCTCGGATTTGGAGAGAATTAGATCACAGTGAGCGCCCATTTTAAAACCGCTGAATCTGCCTGTGCCCTTATTAGACCCCTATATTGTCAAGGTGAGATAAGGGAGGCACTTGGACTCCTCGAGTGTGTGTGAAGACACATGTTCTCCTTGTAAAGTCAACTTTGCTGTAGAGGAACACTAATGGCACTTAGAGCAGCCTCTCTCCTTTTATCTGAGGCAGCTTCTTAATTGGGTATTTCACAAGGAAAATATTTCTTCCTTTTGCACTCTGATTGTTTAGCTTTTGCTGGTGCGCACACTCACTGCCCTACATGGAAGACAGGCCCCTTCATTTTGATTATTCCTTTTGTTGTCTGAGCCACTGAAAGTATCTGTGCGCAACACAGAGTGTTCATAGCTGAGAGGGCTTGCTGTGTCTATAAAGGATATGGACAGTTCTTCCAGACACACTTAAAGGGAACAAGGTCACCAAATAACCTTAACTGCTCTGAAGTGCGCGATATGAGCTGAATTCTTTGTGTATTTGGTCTTCAGCGGTCAAAGATTCAGTCTCATTTCTGGCATATTTGAGTTCTTAAATATAAACATGTTTCTTCTCTTTGAGTGGCTTTGATGGATGAAAACCGGCACCCGCCCCGGCGTCTCTCTGTGGGATATTTACAATCCACAAAGGAGGATAGCAGATAAGAACTTGGCATAGTTCTAATTAAATTTAACACTGATAACACTCTGACATACTCAGAATACAGCGTCACCAGGCAATTACAGGGTTTAGCTTAGCAAAAACAGCTGGTCTTTATCAATTAGGAAGAGTTAAACACAGAACACTGAAAGCATCAGAGAATCAGCACTGAACCGTAAACGTGTGCGCTTTAGTCAGTAAAACTCAGCTGTTAATAAACTTATCAATATGGCAATTCTATCATTGAAATACAGGAGAATTTGACTGATAATTGATTTCTACACTAATCATCCACAGCATTAAAAGCACCTGTCTGGTATTTTTGGTCTCTTGTGTTGCTAAAATCATAGATTGTGGTTTTTGGGTTCAGTGGATTGCAGGGCATCACACTTCACAGATTGGGTTTGTTCCAGGGAATCCACCAAGTGTTTCCTCATATTCAGATTAACAGTTTGCAGACAGGGTCAGTGCCTCGGGCTCTTTGTTGTGTTCTAGAGCAGTTTTTTGATGCGAGGGAACATGTGAGGATATTTTATTGAGGGAGGCCACTGTCATCATGGAGCACTGTTGCAAAATGGGTAAACAGAAGACTCTTTTTGTATTTAGGTACAAAACCAAAGTCTATAAGGTGCAAAGAATCCACAAAGAAAGCAATTAGAATCCAAGAGATGAACTGGGAAACATATGGAGCAGTCAGCAGAATCTAAAAACAGACAAGGAGCACACCAAGCAGGATAACAGGAAGGATTAAGAGACACTGACAAAGGGAAGATTAAGGTTATAGATACACACAAAGCAGTCGGGGAGATAGGAAACACCTGGAGAGAAAGGCACACCTGAGCATAATCAAGGTGACAGAAGCCACAGGAAGCAAAAATAAAGGCCAAGCAAAAGGGACTCAGAATAAAACAGGAAGCAGCCAAACAGAGAAACATCTAACACAGAGACCGGGACGTGACACAGAAGGGAGAGCAAAAGGCACAAAAGGTCACAGATAAACTATAACCAAGACTAGAAACCTAAAGCGAACTAAGAGCTCAGAATATAAGGAAATACTTACAAAACACCTGGAACCAGGAAACCATGAAGATCCTGAATAAAAATCAATCAAACCACGAGAAACAACTTAACTTTCACATGAATAGAAATGGGAACTAAAGACAGTTCAATAGACATGAAAGCAAAAAGG